GTCGCCATATAAATTGCAAATACATTACATATCTTAGCCTGGAATACGCTGCAGTCTCCAGTATGGCAAGTCTGAAGCTCAGACGCAGAATAACTCGGGCCAATATGTGGTACTTAGGCTGGGTAGGCAATTGATAAGCCGAGCTCTTTTTCGACGAACGAACACTAAGCTCTACAAATCTCTCACCACGCTCGTACTTTTATATACATAAGATGAGAAATCTTTAGAGGGCTTTCGAGTGCACAATTCTTCGCAATATCTGCGGCCCTCTACGGGTATCCGATAGGTACCGAAGGAGAGAAGATGATATAATGAACTCTATGATGTTTATAATGGCATAGGCATAAGTAGTTAATCACATAAAATATAACGATATGTAATACGCATTAATGATGATGTTCCAATAAAAAAACCTCTCGATTCGGCGTGGAAGCAACAGCGCTTACGTCTGCAATGGGAGGACAAAGCGCGAAAGGACCCTTGGAGGTCTTTTTGTTCTTCCCCCAAACCCTTAAACGGGTGTAGCACCAAATAAAAAGAATAATCTGAGACAGGCCTGTCTCAAAGAAAGTTCCTCAGAAGAGACGCCAAATTTTTCCGTTGCTCATTTTTGAGCCAACTATTTACATCGGGACCTCGTCATCGCTAAGAACATTATTGCGAATTTGCGGCAAAATAAAAAATCAATTAATAAGTAAAAAACGGCCAAATAAAAACAAATACACTGCGATCTGTGATCCCTGATCTGCTAATTGCAACTTCTTTACTCTACTCCCGACTCTGTGCATAATGGTAGACTAGTCGTTGGCAGTTACCGGCAGCCTGTTAGATGCAATAAGTTTTGTGGCGATCTTAGCTGAGGCGCTTTTCACGTAGATGTCTAAGGGTGGAATGTCTAAAAACTTCGCCCCACAGTTTAGGATTTTAGTTCGAAGGTTATCTATGAATAATGAAGGCACAATTCAACTGAAACAGACTCTACTGAAATCAAAACTCCTGTACCGAGAAGCCCAAAACCTAGTCACCGTCATAGAAGATGAAGCGACCTGAAGGTATGCAGTGCAAAGTTTGTTCGTCCTTTGCCCTTCATTGGTAAGCCCGCCATCCAGCGAATAGGACCCATTAAGTTTGCAGGGCATGGAACTGTAGTGGAGTTATGGACTTCTCTAAAGCCAACAATGTTTAAATAAGTTCTAAGTTCCAATTATCGTACGGCCGACTCACTGATAGGGGAGCACCAAAAGGACTTCGTAAAGAAAGTCTACAGTTATGAATTTCAAAGTCTATGCGCATGGATAGGCGCTCTGAAAAGGGCCATAATGCACGGACTTTGTATCCGGCATGTAAAGATAGTATATATTTACAAGCTGGGAAATGTTGAAACCCGATATACAGACAAATAGCGAGAGCTTTGTAGCTAGATCGCCGATACAACAGCCTTTTGTCGTTGAAAACCCAGGTCAGCTGGCGGTCATGGGAATGACCCCAACAATGTGTTAGCTGACAGAACTTGGGGTAAAAAAAAATAATCGTTGTTGGCTATATAAGTATACACAAAGCAATTGGTCGGCCGGTTCTAAATGATGCTGCGCCAGTTTGGTCACCAGGGACTAGCTTGGCGCAGTGAACAAAACTACAGACTTGTCAGAACACTGCACTCGGGACAGCAACGGATGCTTCCCCATGTCGCCTGAGCAGTGATGCCAACCGGGGGAGAATTCTCCGATTTTGGTAAAATTTGAATATTTCGGGGGAATCGGGAAATGGCGTTAAAGTTTTGTACAATTCAATATGTAAACGATCTTTATTAGAACATTCCAATTGAGAAAAAAATTACAACTTGTAAAAACACTCTCCTTACGGTGTTATGGAGTTAAAACATAACACAAATGAATTATGCAGCCGTGTGGATATTAAAGAAATTGCAAACTTGCATAGCGAAACTTTTCACTTGACGTTTTTATTTGACGCTATCATTTCTCACTTCGTTTTCGGCGTCAAGCCAACGTCTCGCAAAGTTTGAGCAGTCTAATAAGAGTCAGTATTTATCAATACTTAGTAAATAAAGAGTTTTTCCAAAATTAATTATAAAAAACTGCAATTAGCTGTTTTCTCATTTTGTTTTACTTCGTATTTGAAATCAAATTTGAAATAAAAATAAATATGAAGATGAAGAAATACATGATACTTAACGATGAAAACAAAAAGAGAGGGCAAAAGTGAAAATAAAGACGAAAATGGAGACACTGACAAGTACATACGAATTAGGGTAACTGAAAGAGTAAGAACATTAATTGAAATTTCTCGATAGGAATCGGATTAAATTCAGTCATAAAACTGAATGAAATTTATCGAATCATAGAAGTTTATAGTTATCGAAATTTATCGAGTTATGAATGCTTATTGAGTTAGCGAATTATTCAAATTAATGCATATTGAGCTGCCGACCTTTATAGACACAGAAACTTAGTTGTCGAAATTAACGGGTAGTTATCGAGCTATACAAATTTAAGAGATTAATGAAATTTGTCAAGTTAAAGAAAATTTTCAAGTTATCGATATTTATTGAATTATCATTATTTATAGACTAAACGAAATTTATTGAATTGTCGTAGCTCTATAAAATTACAGAGTTATCGAAAATTATTGATCTACGGAGATTGGTCGATTCATCAAATAGATGTTTATGGAATTCTCAAAATATAACGATTTATCGAAACTTCAAGGTTGTATAAGTTATAAGTGTTAACGGATTGTAACGAGTTATCGAAATTTTTCGATAGCTTTCAAAAAATATGAAGCAGTCAAAATTAAAAATTCATAAATTTATCCAAAGATATATACATTTTTTTCTTAGCGAAATTTATCGAGCGCTCGAATTTCACAGTTAT